AAAGTGAGGGAAGTTTCAAATATGGAAAAATACATGATGATGGAAAGATATAAAGGCTTTTTGACCAATCAAATTCCCTATAAATTTTGATGAAAACCCTTCTAATTGGTTATCATTTTTATGTCTTTCTGGCATCATATTCAAACCCTTCTAATAAAAACCCAAATTTTCATGTCTATTTTTAAGGAGAAACCAACTCATCCATATTAGAAATTAAATCAAACACTGAGGATAGTTGAATTGGTGAATATATAGTTTAAAAAGAAACATACCATTTGGCAAGAAAATAAAAGATTAGATTGTTGATCTAAGAGTAGAGAAGTAATTAAATTTATTTTGAATTCATCATCTTTAACATGTCAGGATCAATTTTTAGGGGCAGTCCTTGATCCCATTTAAATGGACTAATATACCCAAAAGCTTAAAAAAATAAAGAACTAGATCAAGAGCAAATTTCCATTTAACATATTCGCTTCCAAGAAGGAAAGTCAAAAGAAATGCAAAGATAAGATAATGTTGATAGCAATGTTTTCAACCTATTGTTGATCCGGTTGGTTGAATTGTTTGAATTATTATCCAGTTTGATTTTGGGTCAGTTTCAATCAAGACCCGCCAAAGATAAAATACTGTTGACTTGGTAAAGAACCATTCAATTCAACCAATTCGACTGTTGATCAGGTCGTAGGTTGCATACTGAATACATGCAAACTTTTGGAGGCCATAACTTTGCACTTCGATGTCTGATTGGGGTGTTTTTTTATTTTGGGTAATTTTTCAAGATCTATGTATCCCAAGATGTCGTAGGCGCCTTGCCCCCACTATTTTTGCAAAATAAAACCCTTTTTTAGCCTTAAATTGCAATTTTTAATTTTAATAAAAAATTAAATTTAAAATAATGCATATAACATATTTATATATTATTTATTGCTAAAATTAAATATAAAATAATATATATATATATATATATATATATATACACACACACAATAATGTGGCACAGTCTGAACTAGAGACAAAAACGATTCAGCCTCTGGGTTGGTTTTTAAAACATTGCTTGACGGGTCCCCCCAAATTTGCCCTTTGTGAAAGGAGAAAACAAATTATACAAGCATGGTGATGAAGGATTATTAACATTAAAACCATAAAAGAAATTCAAAGTTGAATTTTTTTTTTTCTTTTTGAAAACCCAAATTGTTTTTTGTTTTAAATATACAAATGTAAAGCTTGAAGCGTGCTACACAAAGCACCATTAAGAAGTTTTTTAAGCATCTTCTATGAGAATTCTAACTAAAGTACATTCTGGACTACTTTGTTGAACAAGTATTGAATTTGAGAACCACCTACCTTACCTAAAGTATCATAACACTAACCAATGCAAGGTACATATTTAAGGACTTTGTACCAAGGTTTTCATAATTGTTGTTGATTCGGATGGTTGGACCGTTTGGCCCAGAAATCATTCAGGGTAGTGGTTTTGTTTCACTCTTGAACTGCTATTTTTCCAAAAAAAWTGTTGAATTGGTTATTAACCCACTGACCTCGTGGTCAAACCATTGCATCTTCAACCTAGACACTGGTTTTTTTGGCCAAATTTTTATTTTAATTACTTTTTAATTTCTGAAGACGTTGCGTGCTGATCCATTTGGACCCGATTATTGAAAAATTGACCCTGTGTAAGGGGGGATCAACCTGAGTGGCAATGCAGATCGTCGACTGTGTGATAAGACCAACCAAAGACTGGGTCAATTCGGTTCATTAAATATAAGTATTGAAAAACAATTAATGAATATTCTAGAAACTAAAAGATAATTAAGGAACGAGCATGGGAACATTCTATACATAAATGTGACAAGAAGGGTAAAACTGTAAATAAGATAATTTTAGAAAGACAATTAATCACATGTTTTAAATGTATAAATAGAACATTGTGAATTATGAAATAAGAGGGTAAAATAGGAAAAACATAAATTTCATAACCTTTTGGAACGTACACCCAAAAGTTATAAATAAGGTCCTTGGGACCATTCTTTGCGCCATCACTTGGATATCAGTCCATCCTCTCTTTTTCTCTCATTTAGCCTCTCCTCCATTTTCCCACTTTCTCTCGCCAGAATTCCCGCACCAGCAAATTACAACGGCCTGAACCCTTGCCGGAGGGTATGTTGGCAGCCCCTTCTTCGAGGTCCCGCCACTTGCTTATTTCTCACTTCTTTCCATTCCGGTTCAGTCAATTCTTTATACCTCGTGGTAAATACCACTTCACACTCACGACCTTACATCTTGAAACCGATAACCAAAGTGGTTTTAGTTCTGAATCAATTTTTAAAACATTGCTTTCATGCTTTGTACTATGTTTAACGGAACTTCAAGAATTATTTTGTCCAACTAGTAGTAAGGATCAGTTTGGGAAGAGTGTGAATACAAATATGTACAGTGTAAATACAAGGTTTAGAAATATTGTATTTGTATTCATCCCAAACTGAGCCTAAATTTAAAAATTAACTACATATATAAAGTATCATCAACAATTCAAATTAACAAATGCTGCTTTTCATGAGTACTTTATTGAAATTTTTTAATCTTTGGCAGGTAGGGATCGCAATGGGACAGGTTTGGAGAGGGTTTTGTAAATTTTATATCTTATTTGCCTCCAAAAACCTCTCAACCCATATTTGCTCCAAAACCCATAGCAAGTTGGATTTTGAGAATCCAAACTCTCCTCACACATGAAAATGCAAAACCCTCATCGACCTTCAAGGGTAGGGTGGATTGGGTTTAGAGCCTTCAACTAATTTCCTATTATTTTTTACTATATATAAGCAATAAATAAGTAAAATAGCATAAAAAATAGAAAATTGTTCAATTATTTGATCAAACTATATAAAAAATACATAAACTATCAATTATCCTTCACATAAAATTCAAAAAATTATTAAATTCAACACCTAATGCATAAAGTTCATATACTTTCTAATAATATATGAGTGGGGGAGGTCAGGTTTAACCTAATACCGTACCTTGCCCGTACTTGTACCTGTATAGATTGTAGTATCCTAGAACCATTCCCAGCCCAGCTGCCCCAAAATTTGTCCTTCAACCAAAAAAAAAAAAAAAATCCAGACGAATACCCTCCAGGTACTGTTGAAATTTCCCTGCGAAAAAACTATATGAATTCTTAATGGGCATTTAAGGGCCCATTTTCATTTTAGACGGATTGGGCTTTCTTCTTTCCACGGGAAACACCCCTACCGTGGCCCATCTTTTTCAAACCCATGCAATTGACCATTTGGCCGATCTAATTACTCAGCTTATGTTAAGAAACGCTTGAATTTGAATTTTAATGAATAGATGGCTTTTTGTTATTTTGTACTTAATCACTATTTTTAAGCATATCCCGTTTTTTATTAATTAATTAATAAAGCAACATATTTTAAAGGTAAATCTACTACTAATTCGGTAAATCCCCCTATGTAGTGGGACAACTATGACGGTTCACAGACTCAATGCAAGTGCACCAGCTGCACTACATGTAGCGCAAACTATGTAGCAAAAACAACAGCTTTAGCATGAGGCGTTCATTGGCACAAGAATAAGAGCAGGAACAACGTAACCATGATCATTTCTTTGTCTCTTTGTCTCTTTCTTTCCATCTCTAATTTGATGTGAAAATTTTGTGTCAGGCCTGACTAAAGTTTGGCTGGTAGCAGAGTCTTGGTATATGGTTAGTTTATATACTAGCGGGGGTCCTGGTACATACTAGTGGGGCCCATGCAATGGGTTAAAATGAAATGTAAATCTTACATCATTTGTCTTTGGAAAAAACAACAAAAGAAATAATAAATTTATGTAAAGCAACAATAATGTACTTCAAATTTATGTAACCCAATTACGTACTCTTGGAAATAATAATACTTTTTTAAATTCATATTATTTTTTGTTATTTATGATTTTTATTATCTACTTTCTAGTTTTTGCAAAACTATYTTTGGTAATTATTATTTATTATTATTTATCATTTTTAAATCATATTTATATTTATATTATGTAATAGTATTTTATTTTTTTATGATTTCTTATTTTTATTTATCAACTAGTTATTACTTATTGTTACTTAATAAGTTATTAATAACATATATAAATAGAAGTTTGACAATGATTATTTATTCTTTACTATTTTTATTATTTACCAAGTTATTTTTAGTAATTATTTTAAATAATATTTTTTTTATTTTTTTAGAATTTAAATTATATTTATTTACTAAATACTATTTAAATTATATTAATTATTACTTATAATTTAAATAGAGAAAAAGGGATTGTCATTTTAACTATGTTCAAAAAATTTGCAAACTTGGCAGGTGATAAATGATCATCCCTAAGTGAAAGGAGCCTTATGACAATTCTAATTGAGCCATCATTATCTTTGTTGATTTTATATGAGTTGCAAATGGATTATTTTTATTTCAATTAATAATTTATACTTTTTATTAATCATTTTTGGTTAATAATTTGTAATTTTTGTTAATTTTAATAATTGATAAATAAAAAAAAATATTGTTTTAAATATCTTTATTAACTTTAGAAATTTTCATTAATTGTAATTAATTCTAAATGGATTTTAATATGTTGATTTTATCAATTTAAATAAGTAAACAGATTTTTATTATACTCAACTAATTTTATTAGATCCCACCTTAAACACACAAAAAATAGGCTAGGGGGTAAGTTTTGGAATATGGTTGTAAGATCATAAATTCTTGATGCCCAATGTTAAATGCTCTCTCTCTCTCTCTCTCTCTCTTCTCTCTAATGGTTGAAAGGGACATGAGCAATTGTCATTGGAAACCAAAATGGCTTGCACTCTGCCCAATAATCAATGCATGTGTAATTGTGTATACTGTGTCCCAATCAAGAGGTCATGCTGACGTGACATACCTTTCTTTGTAGGTATATAAATGGATCCGAGCCTTGATCAGATCAACTCAAACCCAGACAGAGCCCAAAGCCATGAAGGTGYGGAAGGTGAGCTCCAAGTTTGTAAAGCCACTCTTTGAAGGAGATCCTCCTTCAAGTTTAAACTCTGGTTACTGCATTCCTCTTAGCGTCTTCGATAAGGCCGCATTCAACAACCACATGGCCGGGATCTATGCATATCGACCACCAATCCCTCCCAACGCAACCATAGAGCTTGGGCTTCGAAAGGCTCTATCGGAGTACAGGGAGTGGGCTGGCAGATTGGGTGAAGATGAGAGTGGCGACCCTGTCATTCTKCTCAACGATGCAGGTGTATACTTCGTCGAAGCATCGGCCGACTGCACTCTCCACCAGGCCATGCCGCTTAGCCCATCGCCGGCGTTGCTCAGCCTTCACCCTAGTCTCAAGGGGGCAGAAGCCTTGGTGCAAGTTCAGCTCACGAGGTTCACTTGTGGGTCCTTGGCGCTGGGGTTCACGGCCCACCACCTGGTCGCCGACGGCCATTCCGCCAGCAACTTCCTGGTTGCATGGGGACAAGCTTGTCGCGGCCTTGAGATAAGCCCTCGTCCCATGCACAACCGTGCCATCTTTGTCCCTCGCGATCCTCCATTGATCCAGTTCGAACACAGAGGAGTGGAGTATATGCACAAGAATCCAAACCAAGTGAATCCACATCCACCCTTTGAAATAACCCCAGCTGCAGATGACATCCTCGTGCACAAAGCTCACTTTACGTCGGAGTTTCTGGTCAAGCTCAAAGCCACGGCTTCGTCGGAAAACGCTGATAACAGGCCGCCTTACAGTACGTTCGAAAGCCTGATAGCTCATCTATGGAGAGCCATAACGAGGGCTCGTGGGCTGAAGGGGTTGGAGACGGTGACAAAAATCAGAATCTCAGTAGATGGTCGGTCGAGGCTGAGGCCTCGCATACCCAACGAGTACTTCGGCAATCTGGTGCTCTGGGCATTTCCGAGTGCCAAGGTGAAGGACCTGCTGGATGAGCCTCTGGCCTTTGCGGCCCGGATCATCCACCAAGCAATTGCAGAGGTGAACGACAGTTACTTCAAATCGTTCATCGACTTTGCAAACTACAGGGTGAAGGAGGAGGGTCTCGTTCAAACAGCCGAAATGGAGAAATCGTTTCATTGCCCCAATTTGGAGGTGGACAGCTGGCTAAGAATTCCATTCCACAAGCTGGATTTTGGTGGGAGCTGCATCCCTTATATATTCATGCCATCTTATTTCCCAATAGAGGGCTTGATCTTTCTGCTCCCTTCCTTCATTGGAGATGGAAGCATTGATGCCTTCATCTCTCTGTTCCAAGACAACTTAGATGCATTCAAACGGCTGTGTTACTCTCTAGATATCTAAACCAGAGATGCCACTTCCTCCTCCTTTTATTATTATTATTATTATTTTTATTTAAGTCAATAACAATCTTTCCATTGGCCTTCAAACAGCATTCTATTCAATGCTGCAGCTTTCTTTAATACAATTTTTGGAAACATAATAATAGTCCATAAATATTGCATATCCTAACAATTTTTTCAATGGCCGCATGCTATGTGATACATGAGCCCAACCCACAATGGGGTGGGCTTTGCCTGCAAATTTCAGCCCTGGGACTGGACTGGGTCCATATAGGTAATGGCCTTTCGTTAAAGAGCTCAGACAATTTTGATTGGAAATTAGGGCCCATTGGGCCAAATTGTTTTTTTTTTTTTTTTATCCAATGGTTAAAATGTGAAAAAGATAAAACGAAAATGGAGATGCGGGGTATCGATCCCCGTACCTCTCGCATGCTAAGCGAGCGCTCTACCATCTGAGCTACATCCCCACATGTTTTCAAGTTTTATTAATATATAATTGAATCATATCTTTACATACCTTCCAAAATTGTGGAATCCACCCCTGTTTCAACTTTAAAGTCCAGGTTGATCATGCCTCAAATGAATCAGGACAGATTTAGGGTTTTCATATAGGTTCCATGAGAAGGGGGAGGTATCACCTTAAGACTATCGCGCTTGTAAATTCGATCCAATTGTAATTGGATATTGAATAGCATTTATAAGTTAAACCAAAAATGACCAAAATATTATATATTATTAATAGAATGAGTTGAAAATGATTTTAATATTGTAAGTATACCAAATAGGATAGGGATGAATTCTAAGTAATAATTCAAGCCAACTTTACTATTAGATAGAATATAAATTCTAAGTGTACCAAATAGGATAGGGATGTATCCATATTCAATCCAATTATAAACCAGATCAAATTTGGATCATCTTAACAAGAGTTCAGATCTGCGCCCCACAATGTCCCACAGCACATCCACATCGTGTATTGGGAACATTTTTCATTGATGATATCATCATTTTTGATACTATCATCAGGAGATGTTCCTAATACACAGTGGGGATGTGCTGTGGGATGTTGTGGGGCAACCCTCGTGGGGCGCAGATGTGAACTCCCTTAACCATCTCAAGTTTGAAGTCGGATAAGCAAATACCATTTTCGTTTGCATCCCTACAATCACTACCCATGGTAGTTTTCGTTGTGAGGAAACATTTAGGCCATGTTTGGGAGTGCTTATTTGGGCCAGACCACACCATTAAGCACTTATTGGTGTTTGGGAACTAAGCTCGAAATAAGCGCTTATTTTTTAAGCCCAAATTTTCAGTTTTTTTAAGTGGTTCTACAATAAACACATATTCATTTTTTTTCTTCCAAAATTATCCCTAGTTGAATTTTAAAATACCAATTATAAAATTATTCCTAGGTGAATTTTATAAAAGTTCTTTCGTAAAAGTACTTTTATTAAAAATATCTTTCATAAAAGTGTTTTCTTGTAAAAGTATTTTCATAAAAATGCTTTCTTGTAAAAGTATTTTCATAAAAGTGTTTTTTAAGTGCTTATTGGAGAAAAAGACTACAAAATGCCCAATATGAAATAAGTGTTGAGTGTCAAATACAAATAAGTGCTTATTTGAATAAACACTTTTTTAGGCACTTAATTTTAACACAAGCACTCCCAAACATGGCCTTAGTAGCCATGGTAATACTGCAAGTCAATACTTGGTAACACCTTGTTTATCTCGAATGACTAGTGGAAAAATTTTCAGCCTAAACCATAAATCAATTGTAGCTTATGTAGGAGATCTAGCTGAGAAGAATCAAGAATGAAATGAAAAGCTTGACTAAAATCTGATTACTTTTGGTCTGAAATTCTCAAGATGAGGCCTAGAAAGTAGAAGCTGAACACTTTTGATTAATTAAATAGTTTTAGAGATTTTACGGGCTATGGCATTAAAGGTTCATCTTTGTGTCGTAATGGGTTTGGGCAGATTGGATTAGGTTTGGTTCCAAACCTAAGAGTACTTATCAATCAAATTCCATTTCAACCTCCATTCAATCCGAACCTAACCCAAAGTTTTCATTTTAGCCCAAACAGAACCTGCGCTAAAATGGACTAACTCGGGTTGGTAGCAGGCCTGATTCGGGTTAACCAGAGAATGCCACTTCCTCCTCCTTTTATTTTTTATTTTTGAGTTTTTTTTATAATTTTGTCTACTTAAGTCATTAACAATCTTTTATAGCATAAATGGTTGTTGCGGCAGCATTCTATTTAATGCAATGCAGCTTTCTTTAATACGATTTTTGGAAACATAATAATCCGTAAATATTGCATCTTCTAAGACTTTTTCCATTGGCCGCATGAGCCCAACCCACCATTGGGTTGGCTTTGCCTGCAAATTTCAACCATGGGACTGGACTGGACTGGGTTCATACTTAATGGCCTTTCGTTAAAGAGGTCAGACCACTTTGATTGGAAATTAGGGCCCATTGGACTAACTTTTTTCAAAAAGATGGAGATGCGGGGTATCGATCCCCGTRCCTCTCGCATGCTAAGCGAGCGTTCTACCATCTGAACTACATCCCCGTGCATTGTAAAAGTTTTTATTATAATAATAATATTTAATCATGTCTCATATGGCCAACAGCCGCCATTGTATATTAGATATTTCGGTGCATCTAAATTCATATTGTATCGGATTGTGATTCTCTAAGGCTCAGTTTGGAACAAATTCTATTTGCACAGTATATATTTGCATTTGTATTCTTTTCAAACTCAGTTTAATAGTTCTTTATTTTATTTATTTTTGGGTAAATTATAAAGACCCTCTGTACTATGACCGTGAGACAAAAACCCCCCTCCGTTAACTTTTCATTAAAATCCGCCGTTATAATAATTTTAAATCCCCATATTACACTTATAATAAGAAAAACACTGTTTATCTTCCCTAACTTCAATATGCACGAACAACAGCGGCGATAAGAGGAGAGAAAAGGGATCAGGGATTACTGCTGCTGCTGTTCTCTACCTCTGCAAATGGGATTCCACCAGGGTGTCGTACAAAACAATCCTCTGCAAGTCTGTGGGCCACTTCCATTTTCCTCTCTTCAACACATCCTGGAAGAATCTCTGCTTCATCATCTCCTTGAGAACCACCAGTGGGAATTGCTTCGTGATGAAGAACATATTCAAGATCCAGCTTCTAATTATTATCTGATTCTAAATTTATTTTCTGTCAGAAGGCTAAGCTCTGGTTCTTCAAATATTTGTAAGCAATTAAAAAAAGAAAAGTCTAGTGAAACTCATTTCGTTTTGTGTCGCCAGATGGTGCTTCACACGCAACCTCTCACACTAAATTCACTTCCCTCCATCTTCCCTACTTCTCCCTTCTGCAGAAATATCTCTTTCTTTTCTACTTTCTCTTCAATTGAACCCATTAGGAGGTCCACTTTGAGTCTTACAGAGAAAAATCCATTTCTCAMATCCTCGTATCAGCCTCTGAAATGCTCGCTTTCTGTAGTTTCAGAGCCCATCCAGAAGGATTTGCAGAAAAAGCCATCTCCAGCTGAAGTTTCTCGGACAATAATGGAGCTAACTTTTGTAGGTACCCTTTCTACTCTAACCCAAGAAGGTTTTCCTCTTGGCATTGGTGTTCGCTTCGTTGTCGAGTCTCCGGAAGAGAATCACTGGTTGCTCTTGACATGTGACCAGTGATCCGGTTGCTCCTCCGGCTATATGGAGCTTCCACACCGGGATAAAATAAGCAGCAAAATTGCCAATTGTCATTCTCACAATTCCTGTTTCTTAATAATTTAATGGAGAGAGAGAGAGAGAGAGAGTTACCTTCATGGTGGTAGAAGGGTCTCCAGAGAACAAGCTTCTGAGCTTTAACAGAAACTCGTTTAAGTAAGGAAGAATTAGTTTTATTAACCAAATTGCCTCTTCTTCCCCCACTACATGTGTCTGGTTTGAATCATCTATATCTAGAKCTCCCTTGTAATTTTTGAAAAAGAAAATAAGTGAGAATTAAGAAACATATCTAACTTCTTTATTTAAGTAAACTTAGTGGGTTTGGGAGATTTACCTGCAGATAATTGATTTGTGGACAAAAATTAAAGCAAGATAGATGAGACCCATATAAGACGTTGTAGAAATTAAGCTGTCGAAAGTGAAAAAACAAGAAAATTCAGTTATGATGGGGATTAATGGGGGAGAAATGTCACTTCTCATTTTATTAGACTACCTGAAATTAAGGTCTTTAGTGAAGGAGGATGAAAGTAGGAAAAATGTCCCGATTCCATACACAAATGATGATCTCGATACGTCTCTCCACATGACTAAATCGACTGAATTTTTCAAAAAAAAATCAAGTAGAAAAATGAAAAAATAAATAAATAAAGAGAATTTTACTAAACGGATCAGAAGAGAGACTCACCAATGCTTTGTAATTTTTCATGGGTTTCTGGTTTACCGTTTACTTCTGAAACTTCATCCATGAAAGGCCAACAAATTTGAAGAAGTGAGATAAACAAAAAGAAAAATAGCACCTGAAACCAGGAACTAATATCACCAAACTGTAACTGGAAATGACTTACTTGGAGGTGATTGATCATTACAGGATGAACAAAAACAGAGCGTCGCTGCTAATTCACATTGGGAGAGATTGGTGCCGGTTTATCATGGCCCTGTTGAAGCTTGCTTTCTTCATCCATGGATCTTTTCAGGTTTGCAAATTTATGAGCAATTAGGGTGTGATCTGCAACAGGTGAAGTCTTTTTATTCTGAACCGGGGAGATGGGTTTTGGTGTTTCATTGACCTGTGCAATCTTCTTCTCTTCATTCACAAACTTTTGGGGTTTTATGGGACTTGGGGAAATTACAGATTGATCTGGAACAGGGGGAGGCTGTTTATTCACAATTGGAGAAAGGGACTGTCGTGAGGTTGGGAAGATGAATAGTATCTTTTTTTTTTTCAGTTGTCTATAAGGATAGTATGGGAATTAAAAAATATTGCAACGACAGGTTTCAACGAAAAACTAACAGAAGGGGTTTTGTCTAACGGTCATAATACAGGAGGGTCTTTGTCGCAAAACAAAATACAGGGGTATTTGTTACGGACCCCATAATACAGGGGGTGTCTTTATAATTTACCCTTTTTTTTTTATTTTAATTTTTGAAGTTAACAGTTAACTTAGGCTGCTGATAAGGAATTGAGACACCATTCGAATGGAGTTTCAGTCTTCTATTAGAGGTCAGGTCACGAAGGTCTTCATGCAACACTCGAACCCATCAAAACATTCCTTAAAATACCTAAACATTGGATATCCGATCTGATCCAATTTTGAAAACCATGCCAAAAAGAACCACTCTCTATTCCCTTGCAACCTAACTAAAGAACCTGTGTGCTCAAGTTTTCAACCACTTCACTCTCGCATCATAACTTGTTTCTTTATAGCAGTATAAGGTTCAACAACCACAAACAGAACACACCCTCTTTATCCGATCTGATCATTGACGCTTGGTTGTTGAATAAGTTCCAACAATTTCTCCACTGATTCTAGAAGTTTTTCACCATGACGGTTAAACATTCTTGCTTCTAAGATCCATAAGATGAGAAGCAAAGCTAACTGAATTTTTCTTTTCCTGCAACAAGAAAATTTTGTTTGTGAGTAGTTATTTCAATTAGGAATATGGAAAAGTAAGCAATGCAACATAAATGTAATGAGTTATTTCAAGTAGGAAAATATTAGAAAATTGTTTATAATTGCCTAATCCATCAACAACAACACAAGAAAGCTTAGCAAACTCTAAAACAATCAAAGAACACTGAATAACCTAGCCCCAGATTACTGAACTAGTTGCTTCGCCATCATCTCCCTTCCCCCCCACCCCCCACCCCTCACCTAATATCTTGCATAGGGTTGATCATTCTTTTCTTAGCCCGGCCTGGTCCAACCCACAAATTTTCGGGTACGACACCAAGTTTTCGTGCTTAGGCCTGGCCAATCCAGGCCTGCATTAAGCCCAGGAATTTATGGGCCAGGCTTGTGCATAATTTTCTAAGCCCAACCTAACCTGGCCCAAAGTGAAGGAAAGTGAAAAGAAAAACCCCTATACCCTAAATCATCTCTCTCTTTTTTTTTTTATTGAATGGTACTCCTGTGTCACGTCCAAAGTTGGTGATAGCCGGAACTCAAATCTACATCTCTCTCTGTTAGAACAATCCAATTACTGAGCCACCACTCAGTTGGCCCTAAAACATCTCTTGAACTTTTCTCTCCTCTTCCATCAGTAATGAGCACTGCCCTACTGCATGTTCCCAACCAGCATTGCTGGCCGCTGACTCCTTCACTCTTCATTCAATTCCATTGCCCTTTGCAGCTGCTTACCACTACAAGAAAAATGATCAAACACGGCGGTTTAAAGCTGGCGGTCTTAAAAACCACTGCTGTAGTGAAAACTAAGCTGGCGTTTCTCACGAGACCACCGTGCTGCCGCCTAATGCACCCACCACCAGAAAAGATATTTCCTGTCCACCATCACCACTTGGCCTCCGCCACCACACCAGTAGCCACTATCAGCTACTACCAATTGGCCCAGTTCCAATTTCCTTTAAAAGACAAATTATATTATTCTGAAACATGAAATCTTCCTCCATATAATATTTTGATTTTTTTATTGTAAAAAAAAAAAACTGATGTTGGATTTTTAAATATCAAATTGATATAATGAATTTTTAAATAAGCGGTCCAACTCGTTGATTGTTTGATTCAATGGGTGTTTCATCCACCTGCTTATGGTAATTGATTTCACGGGTGTTTCAACTTGTCTTTTTATTTTGAAGACTCAACTTGTTAATTGTTTGATTTAGTGGGCGCTTCATCAAACTTATAATAATTAGGATAAATTACAAATACCCCCCGTACTATGACATCTGTGACAAATACCTCCTGTATTTTGTTTTGTGATAAAAACCTCTTTATATTATGACCCCTTTTCCTTAGCTTTCTGTTATAAAATTTTTTAATTCCCATACTACCCTTGTAAGAAAAGCACTATTTATCTTCCCCAACTTCAGGACACAAGAATAGCAGCGGCGGTATTCCTTCACATCTCTCTCTGTCACTCCCTCTCTCCGGATCTCTCTTTTTCCCCTTCTCCTTTCTCTTCACCCCTTTCTTCAGACTCTTCTTGGTCTTCTCTCTCCACCGCCTGAGCTAAGCTAACAAAAGTCAGAAAAGAAAGACAAGAAAAGGATTTACAACTTAAACCTCTCGATCGTTAGCAACTCGGCATTCACGAACCGGTCAGCTTCTCTCGGCCAAGTTAGCAACAGCACCCCAACCGTAATCCCTTCCATCACCAAGTTCCACCCGCATTGAGTCAGGAACCCGCCCATGGCTCTATGGGGCCCATCCCCTTATGATCAAACCTCTCCCCACCACCCGATCTTCGATCTCCTTAATGATAACCTCGCTATCGTTCGCTTCCTGTCTCGACATCGTCATCTTAACGGTCAAAATAAATCTGACTCCACTTCGTTCCAGCCCGACTCCCAAGGCCTCAGCTGTCGTTTCGGCGGCAGCACCACCTGACTACCAAAACAAGCGCGTAAAGCACAGACTCGTCCGGGCAACGGTCGAGCTACTTCAGCACATCAGCAGGTGACACCGAACTGGGCTCACCTCGTTCATCAGATCTAGCACCAGCAACCTCCATCATAGCCCAAGGGCCCACACCACTCTCTGCTTCATCTTTTTCTTCTTCTTGTTGCCGATTCCAAATCTGCTCGATGGCGGGTTCTACGACCTCCGAATTGAAGAAAATTCAGATTCAGAGAGATGATATTATATTTGATGCTTATGTGGTGGGGGTTGATTATGAGGTCAAGAACCATGCTTTGAAAATTTCCCAAATGAATCTTGGTTTTAAAACACTCATCCCATATTTGTATCGTGGAAAGGTTGGTTTAGACGTTGCTGAAGCACAACATTTAATGGATGGTCTTGATTGGCAAGGTGATATTCGTGCTTCAGTTAGTTGGCTCAAGGCAAATGGTTCATAGAAGGTAGGTGTGACAGGATTTTGCATGGGCGGTGCTCTCTCAATTGCAAGTTCTGTTTTGATTCCTGAAGTTGATGTTGTCGTTGCTTTCTATGAAGTTCCTTTCTAAGGGGAAGTGCAAAAAGAGAGATCGGGGGGGGGAGAGAAAAAATGTGAAGGAATACGGTCATGTTGTTCCTGTATCGTGAGGTCAGGGAAGATGAATAATATTTTTCTTAAATGGTAGTATAGTAATTAAAACATATTGTAACCGTAGATTTCAACGAAAAACTAACGGAAGAGGATCTTTGTCTCACGATCTTAGTACAAAGGGAGTCTTTATAACAAAACAAAGTACAAGGGGTCTTTGTAATTTACCCTAATAATTATTTGATTTTCATCCTTTTGTTTGAATTAATTATTGATTAGTAGTTATTATGATAGGTGATTAATAAAGTAGCTATTATTCTATTAATAATCAATAGGTAAATTATTAGAATGTATGCAATGTCTTATTGGTTATTGCAAATTATCTTAAACTATCTTTCATCAGGCCTCGGAATCCCATAACTAAAAACGCACGGAAAAATAACTAAAATAGTGATTCAAATTATAATAAAACAAATGGATACAAGAACACTAAAATGAAAATATGGTTACAGAATTATTTACCCACTCAAATTTTTATTATAGTTATCGTAAGGGTAAATTACAAAGACCCCCCTGTAATTTGTTTTGCGATAAAGACCCCCTTCTACTATGACCGTGAGACAAAGACCCCCTTCCATTAGCCTTTGTCCAAAAAATCCGTTGCAATATTTTTTAATCCTCATACTACCCTTATAATATGGGGATGGCGGATTCACCTAATTGAAAKCTTGGGTTTTTAGTTTCAAGCAGATCTTTCACCAGAAAAAATAAGGCATGTTTTAATCTTGCTAGGAGATGGACAATAGATGAAATTCAAGTCTCTGTCAAGGCAACACAACCGGAGGTCTCCGGATCGGAGAAAATTGCCAGAGAGAGGGCGATGCCGAAAGGATCAAAGCTAGTAAGTGTTATTTTTTCTTTCCTTCTGTTCGTTTTGAATTGCAGAAACTAGGGTCTCGACTTTAATTCATTAGAGAAATCTATGTATATTTATTAAAATTAATTATTATTTTTTATGCAGGAGGATGGATTAAACTTATTTGTTGGGCTTCCTCTGGATGCTGTTTCCCACGGCAACACACTGAACCATGTAAGAGCAATCGGGGCAGGGTTGAAAGCTCTGAAGCTTTTGGGGGTAGAAGGGGTCGAATTTCCCATCTGGTGGGGGATAGCCGAGAAGGAAGCCAGAGGAAGGTACGACTGGTTGGGATATCTTGAGCTTGTAGAGATGGTCCGAGATGCGGGTCTCAAGCTTCACGTATCTCTCTGCTTCCATGCTGCCAAACAAGCCAAAATTGAACTCCCTGATTGGGTGTCAAAGATTGGTGAAGCACAACCAGACATCTTCTTCACCAATAGGTCGAGACGGCGCTACAAAGAGTGTTTATCACTGGCGGTGGACGATTTTCCCGTCCTCTACGGGAAGACTCTAGTTCAGGTTTACCAGGTATTCCTGTAGCTTCAAATCTTCATTCTCAAATCTCATGGGCTCTACAATCGTGGTAAGCTTCAAATCTTCATTCTCAAGTCTCAACCCATCTCATTTATTTATTTGTTAGAACCAGTTCTTATCAATGGTTGCTTTTTCTGTGATCTCCTCAAGATGTTTCAGTGGGCCTGGGACCAGATGGAGAGCTTCGGTACCCTTCCTGACCATCAACGAGAGGTGGCAAGATTATAGGAGCAGGGGAATTCCATAGCTACGACAAAAACATGCTAAAGCATCTACAAGAACACGCCCAGGCAACCGAAAACCCCTTCTGGGGCCTCTCAAGTCCTCATGATGCCCCCAACTACGACTAGTCACCCTTTCGCCAACACCTTCTTCAAGGAGAACGGAGGCTCTTGGGAGACCCCATATGGAGTAGCTCTTTTCCTAATCAAAAAGTAGAGCATAATACAACACAACAAAAGTGAAACCGCGAAGAGGCCCTCGGTGGCTATGAGAATTATGTCTTTCATTTCGGAGAGTTGGGAGAGAGAAAGAATGAGAGAGGACGGTGAGGGGAGGGGAAAAGAAGAGAAGAAAGGAAAAACGATAGGTTAAATAGGTTTTAAGAGAAAAAGGGAAAAAATAAGAAAATAGAAAAAGTTTAATGGGGTATTTTAGTAATTTAACACACTCCATCATCTGACTTAACAGTCAAGGGGGGTCTTTGTCTCACAGACATAGTACAGGGGGTCTTTGTCGCAAAACAAAATACAGGGGGTCTTTGTCACAGACCCCATAGTACAGGGGGTCTTTGTAATTTACCCTTATTCTAACCTCTAATATCTAGTCTAGTTTATTAATTTGAACAAAGAAAAGAGATTTCAAGCAAAAGTTGTTTGAAGAATAAACAAACGGACAAGTTTCATGTTAATCAAACTGGAAGTCTGGGAGAAAACTCACTAGCCTGTGGCTTTTGACGCCCAAAATTAGTATTTTCTTGCTACGACCAAATGGAATAAACCATAGAGAGAGAGAGGGATGGCAATTTTATCCACAAAACCGGGTCCCCGATCTGACCCACCCCGAATGGGGCAAATTTTCCCCGATCACAAATGCATACGGGTCGGGTTCGGGGAATTTTCTTTTGCCCATGGAGCGGAGACAGGGTAGGGATGGGTCTGCTTATAAATCCCCGAGCCCGCCCCGACCCCGGTTGTAAATTACAAATATACCCATATATATAATGTGTTAAGGTATTACCTATTACGTATTAGGTTTAGGAGTTAGCCACCTATTTGTTTCCCTATTGACAACTGTTTCGTGACTTTTGTCTTCCTTCAACCTTCACAGTTCGCACATACAAAGACACTGAGTATTCCTTCAACCTTTGCACAACCATTGATCGTCGGGGGCCGGGCGCTGCCGCCGCCGTAGCAGTAGGCTTCCTAGTCTTTCCTTCGTTCTCCAATCTTCACTCTTTAATGGATATAGGAGGTGATGGTTGGACGCTTCTGTCACAACAGCAACCCCTGTACAAACTCACATCTCCGAGCCTTCTCTTAGTGTCCTCTTGGTCTTTGCGGGGCGGGTACATATCGGGGATTCCCCATCCCCAACGGGGCCGGGGATGGGGAGGGGGTGCCCTGCCCCATACCTGCCCGTTGCCATCCCTAGACATAAACCACGGAGGGAGAGAGAGAGAGAGAGAGAGAGAGAGAGAGAGAGAGGCGCCCAGGAATTGGGTTTTCCAAGTGAGGGGTTTTTGTCTTTAAGATATGTTGGCGGGAGGGAAAGCAAGTTTCTCCTCTCCGTAGGCCTGTAAACGAATTGAATTCGAATCAAATCAGTCTAGATTCAAATTTTAAATTGATTATAAAAAACAATATTCGAATTTGATTCAATATTCGACGGATATTGAATGTTTCAATTCGAATTCGATTATTAAATCGAATATTCAAATCGATTCGAATTCGACCAGCATGAGGTCTAGAATCTTAAATGTCCGAGTTTTCAAAGAAACGCAAGTGATTAGCTTGAGAAAAGAGGTAGGGGATTGACGGCAGCAGTCGTGGGTTCCCGGTGGTGGGCCAAGTGTGAGTGTGTGACGGTGGCAGTCGTGGGTTCCCGATGGTGCAAATGCAATGGTAGTAAGTAGTGTTGGCCGGTGATGCTGGACTATTGCAGCACAATGACCGGTGATGCTAGACAGTTGAGGGCCTTGAGGCATCGAGTTTGAGTTTGAGTAGTGGCGAAGGAGATGGTTGTGGCCGGTGATCGGTGCTCAACTGCTATCATAGTGTTAGACAATGTATGCCCTTAGCTCCAATCAGCATAATATACATTATAACATTTATTGTAAATGAATAAAGTACATATTTGATTCATGTTATTATGGTGTGTTTCTGTGTAATACCTTTAAACTGGACACATATGAGACTCGTGTTAGTTTAGAATTTTCATAGCCATTGGATAGATCTGGGGAGATTTATCCTGCCAAGTCTAACACTGATGTGCCACCAAGTTGGTTGGGGTGGCTTATCACAATTGCCAGGGTGAGACCTGAGGTACATGCAATGTGTTTTTTTTTTAACCCTGAATCGGACCAAAATTCCAATATTGCCCTAGACCTTGGAGATAGATGGGCAAAACTGGAATGTTACGCCTGACCCCTAGACTCGATTATGATACTGCACCAGGTGTCGGATTGGGCTGTCTTTGATATGCCAATCAGTGAGATCCTTAGAGGGGGTCAAAACCTAAGTATGTTGGGACAGTCTGAGAATTCATCTGAGTGGATGATCATAGTGATAGGATCAGCCCCTTTGTCGGACAAAGTGAATGATCGGGGATGCACTCTCTCTGATGGAAACCTAAACTGACGGCAGTTGATTTCAACCGTTGAAATTTGTTTTTGCAAAATATATTTATATAGAGATATACATATATATATATATATATATTTGCAAAAAGTTTTAATTCCCGGGATCCATGTGAGTAAAGAGTGCAACACTTTACTTTGCAGTCGAAGGAGAGGTCCTCTCTTATCGGCCAGTGTTTGATCATTATGGGTTGAGAGGTTAAGTGTAAGGCCATTGAGGGTTATACTTGATGGACTAATCTTGCATCTGCCCACAGTCCTTGGGCCTTCATAAGATGGCTGGACCCAATGACCATTTAGTGTAAATGTTGGGCCCATTAAGGGCCCATAGTGATGAACTCAGGGGTTCACTGTATTCAGCAGTGAATTCGGCCAAGCCTTGTAACAGAAGTTAGGTTGAACCCATGTGGTTGATGTGTAGATCAATGATAGGGTCCCATGCCATACAAAGAGAGCCAAGCTAGCTAGCATTAAAGTGGAAGTGAGCTTGAAAGCTTAATGGACCTAAAAATCCATTTCGAACTGGGTTAATTAGATTAATTAAATAGGAGTGGATCTAGGATTTGGATCAGCAGATAAGATAAAGAATTATCCTTATCCACTTAAAGAGTCCAGATCCAAATAAAGATTTAGATTAAAGGAACTCCTAATTTGATTAGGAAGGTTGATCTTTTATCTACAGATAAAATAAGGAATTATCCTTATCATTTAAAGAGTCCAGATCCAAATAAAAGATTTGGATCAGGAAACTCCTAATGATATTAGAAAATTGTCTTTTTAAAGTTATAAATAAGAGAGCAGGGCGAACCTCTAGGGACACATTCACTGAATACAGAGAGAAGACAACACAATTAGACTGCTCTTGCCTTCTGCTCTTTTTCTTCCTGCTCTTGCCGCCCTACCTTGTTCAATCTCCAGTTCTTGGACTGGATCAAGATTCAATTTTGATATTGTTTCTTTCCAAAAGAAATAATTTAGAAGTTGTGCTCACTGTCCCATTCAGTTTTTGCTGAAGAATCACTAGTTCTTGGTGAAGAATACCTATTGATTCTGCCTCATCCTAAGTTGTGTCATCTTCAATGGTGGGAGGATTTGATACTCTCTTTGGGCGTGAACACCTACGTTGGGAGGAGCATTGTTGCATGGATTCCGTATCAAGTATATCATTCCCTTAATTTGGTTTCAGATTTGGTCCGGTTTGGTTACAAGAACAAACCTTTAAAATGCAATTTTCTAAATTGCGAATAAGATTTCCGAATGGAAGTAAAAAAAAATTGAAATTTTGCCCAACCTTCCTACAAGGTTCGGCCATTCATATGATGGATCTCCCATCCCTTCACATAGACGATGCCATCGATGCTCACAAATTGCAAATATTGAGAATAAAAAAGAGAGGAAGAAAAGAGGAGTGCGAATAAAAAAGACAAGGGGAGAGAAAGGAAGAGAAGAAGATGAAGAATAATGAAGTTAAAACTTAAAAAAGAGGGAGATGAAATGACAAGAGAGAGAGGGGGGAAGAGGCCCGAGAGGGTAAGACGGGAGGGGAAGCATCATCGAGAAGAGACTGTGTGAGAGAGAGAGAGAGAGAGAGGGGTGGGGGGGAGAGGCCCGAGAGGGGGGAGGGGAAGGGTCATCGAATGACCACTCAAATAGGTTAGATTTTTTTATGAGGGACATGACCCCTCTTTAAGACTTTAAATGTATACAATTGTTATTAATATATATTAATGTATATAATTAATCAAATTCAAATTCAACACGAATTTGAATTCAAATTCAATAAACTAATCGATAAAATGTATAAATTTGAATTCAACCGTTAAATTTATCTAACCATTCGAATTTGATTCGATTACGTTGGATATTGAATTCAGAATAGGATAATCGAATACTGTCTTGCACGGGTTGAACCGGATTTAAGGTGGAATTCGGGCCCAACCCATAGTAAGCACTAAGCACCCATTTGGTAGGGCTTTCATACAACAGTTTCTAGCTTTGTAAGGTAGGCCCCATATGAAAGATCTAGGAATTATACTTCGTGAAAACCCAAAAAGCTCAAAATCACTTTAATTATACTTCATGAACAGTCCATCGATGCAAAAGGCAGACCCTGTTGGGCCCTCAACAGGTATGATGTTGAAATACGAGCCCTATTAAGAGGATTTCATGTGGCCTCCACAAAAGGAATATCACATCTTTTGGTGTATACAGATATCATAGCGTTAGTTGAATTTGCAAACAGCTCACTTTTTTGCTTATATATCTTGTAAGGGCCAACTAAGTGTACATTATAGTACCTTAGATCCTAGTCATGTAAGTTTTTCTATATGATATGAATGAAGGATCTTTCTTTTCCAAAAAAAAGAAAAAACAAGTATTCTATAACGTGGATGAAATATTGGATGGTGTGGACCGGTTCACACTACACTGTTTTGCATATGATTTGTATTAAGGACAAGTGTGGTGTGGACTAACCAATCTACTGATTCCATGCATTTTCCATACAACTTTTGATATCAAAATACCAATTGACCTATTTGTATAGCCACTCACAATTCACAATGTAATGGAGTTGGTGTTGTGAATAGCAGTGGTAGAGAGCATAAACTCTTTCTTTTATATATATATATATATATATAGTTTAATTTTATT